TATATGTAAAGCCACAGTGGCAAAGTACAGCCATGGTCATAGTTTAGATGGAAAAATAATAATGGTTTGGGAATGGGATGGTGATTCACAGCAGTAACTGGGGATTCCTTCTGCCCTCAGTAGATATATGTTGTAACAGTTTCGCACAAAGGTCGATAAAAGACTTAATAAAACCTAATGATTAAGAATACTAATTGTACCTCTATGGTGATTTGTATGATAATTCTTCTATTTATTGAGTATGTTATTTGTTTGATTTTCATTGGACATTTGATACGTTCGGATATGCTAAATGTGACATAACATGGCTGCTTAAATATTAAATGATGGTGTTCTTAGCATTGGTTATATAATTGTCTCATCGGGTTTTCTTAATAAAGACAAAAACGTTTTCTAAATAACAAAATGTCTTCACCCCGTGACGGTTCTCCAAAGTCAGAGGTATACAAGGTAATGTTCAAGTTGTTAACTTTTTTAACCTTAGCTATGTGGTTTTAAATATTGTTTCTCTTATTGGGTTTACATGGAACTCACCCCTAATCCGTCTCCCCCAAATGAATAAGAAAATTAAGGATTTACTCCCGAGTTGTCTTTGAAGCTTGAATAGATCCATTCACGGATATGTAGTAATTCTGTAGGACATAATTCGAGTGCAATAGTTATTCCGCACTCTGATGTAAAATCTTGTAAGGACTCTCATTTTTGTATTTAATTCTTAGGATTGCCAATTTATGCTAAAATGCAAATATTGTTGAAGTTAATTATTGTTGGTGTTTTTATTGTAAATCTTAGTTTGAAAAGCTTCCGTTGAATATTGTTTCTCTTATTGAGTTTACATGGAACTCACCCCTAATCCGTGTCCCCCAAATGAATAAGAAAATTAAGGATTTACTCCCGAGTTGTCTTTGAAGCTTGAATAGATCCATTCACGGATATGTAGTAATTCTGTAGGACATAATTCGAGTGCCTAGTTATTCCGCACTCTGATGTAAAATCTTGTAAGGACTCTCATTTTTGTATTTAATTCTTAGGATTGCCAATTTATGCTAAAGACTTAATAAAATACGAATATGGTTGAAGTTAATTATTGTTGGTGCTTTTATTATAAATCTTAGTTTGAAAAGCTTCCGTTGAATTTCTTGTTCATGATTTGTCCTATGTTATCTTTGTCTTTATTGTATTGCTACAATCACTTGTTTTCATAAGTCAAATAACGATTTTTTTTCTAAGTATTTAAAATATGCTCGTTCGTGGAAGCCTATGAGTTAAGTCATTCAATTGTGAATCTTAACTTTTCTTCTTCAACATTACTCATTCTTTAAACTTTAACAGTGTAATTTAAATATTGTTTTTCTTACTGAGTTTACATAGAACTCATCCCTAATTCGTGCCCCCCCAAGATGATGAAAGTGATGACGCGCTCGTTGTGTTACCCCTTGAAGGTTGTCTAGATCCTTTCTTGGATCCTTGGGATGGTTATGAGTGCTTTATATTGTCTACACTCTGATGACTCTTTTGTAAACATTCAAATGACACTTATTTGTAGATTCATATTTTTAGTAGCCAACCATTGGCCTCAGGTGTAATGTGAACCTTGATTTTTATGTAAGGGATTCCTATTTTTTGCTTTAATGTTAATCTAGTTATTATCACTTGTATCTATTTCGGTTATCTAGCTCTCCTATGCCCATTGCGTATTTGAGATGTCACAACAAGTCCAACAATAATAAACTAAAGAATAATGTTGCTAAAGAATCGGCTCTAGTAGGACTCAATCAAGAAATCATATTGAACGAAGATTAAGAAGTGAGTACTGCAACCAATCATTTATGCAACATATGCAACAAAAGGTTCATTACTGGTCAGGCACTCGACAGACATATATGGTGTCATTAAACGACACTAACAGCATCAGCTTCGGTTGAAAGTCAAGGTACCTCCTCCTCATCTGAACAACAACAACCCACTATTCACGTTATCTGTGACTTTAATCTTAATGAGTTTCTTACCTGAGAAGTTAATGATTGAAAACTGTAAGCTTTAGTAACATGCATGGTTGATGATGATGAGATGATGGTTATTATGGTTTAGTTTTCTGAGAAGGGTTAATAATAGGTTAGTGGCATATAGTAGTAGAGAAATCTACTTATGGAAATGGTGATCCGCAGTTGCAAAATTAAAGTTACTTTTTCTGCTTTCTCTTCTCTTACTATTCTCCTTCATTTTTTGTTCTTTTAGTTTTTCCTTATGCATTTTTTAGAGGAAATCCCAACAAAAAAATTATGAGAAAAATGTGACGTATTTAATTAAATAAATTATTAAAAAATTCAATTGTAAAGGAGTTTACTTATTACTAGCCCCATAAATGGCATTCTTTTCATGGGAAAGCTTTGTAGGGTAGACCTCCACCAATAATTCCACATTACTAGAAAGTTGATTGCCTAGTAAATGAAGTTGACCAATGCTTAACTTCTCGAGATGCTTTGCTGTGATAGCTTAAAAGAAATTTACATGCAGTAAACAATCGAATGAAATATTTAACAGATTTTAAACAACGAGTCATTGAGTTTTAAGTAGGCGACTTTGTATTTTAAAACTTCATCCCTACTGCGAGTAGTCTGTGTTTAAAAGAGCTCATTAAAAGCTTGCAAGCAGGTCTTATGGGCCATATCAAATTGAAGAAAGAATTGGAAAATTGACCTATAAACTCAAATTAGCACAAGAATCTCGCATTTATATAGTGTTTCATCTGTCCCCTTTAAAAAAACAATTAGGAGAAATAATTGCAGTAAGTACTGATCTATCATCAATGGCTAAAGATGATGATTTGATTACGAAACAAGAACCGATACTAGACACCTTTTGGGTAAAAAAGGGTCTAAATTTATAGAACAAAACTTTATCAAATGGAAAACATTGTCAGTAGATGATACTACATAGGAGAACTCTCAAGAGGTGAAGACAGGTTTGTTAATGTGAATATTGAGGATAAAGTTGTTGCCAAAGGGGTGAGGGTATTTTTAAACCAAGATACGGAAGAATGCTCGTGAAGAACCTGAAGTATTTTGACTAAACAAAAATTCCATGGGTCATATATTGAATGCACTTCACATAAATATATCAAGTGAGTCATGCAGTATAAAGATTTTGGGTTGTTAAAAACTTGGTCTAAGTTATTATCATGGATACAAGTTTGCTTGCGTAAGAATGGTTAAGTAGTTATTATTTAATTTTTGAATAAACTTTTAGTTGTTGCTCATGTTGTCCTATTTCTTAGAGATATGACTTGAGAAGTAGGAATAGTTGTTAATTTTTTTTTTGTATTTTTAAAGTCATCAATAAAGAGTCATATTTCAATCAAATTTTGATGGTTTATTCTCGCTTTAAGTAGAACATAATTTTCATTAAACGATTTTGTTATTAGCTTTCATTTAGAGCTATCATATATTTATGTATATATCATATGTATAGACACGACTGATAATAAGTGGCTACGAAAAGAAATGCATATATCATGAAGAGACAGTGGCATAAAGCACTGCTCAAATCCATAATCTCTTTTACGAATTCATTATTTTATCATATTGTTAGTCAAGTTTAAGATTAGATTAACTATAAAAAAATAAATTCAAAAAAATCAAAGGTTGAGGCGAGCTAACCACTCATGTTGATGTGAAAAAAAATTTCATTGAGGAATTCTCTCCTAAAAACAAAAAATTTTAGGAAAACTAATGTTTCTCTTTTTTTAAAAAAAATCTTTTGAAAGGATTTATAACTTAAATCTACTATTATATATTTTTTATCATAGAATGAAAAGTGTTTGAGGCATAAAAGATAAATAGTTTAATTTGTGGATGTTGATTTTACTTATAAACTTGCCTTCCTTATAAATCATCCTCATTTTCATGTTATGTGTTTATGAATTTATGCTATTGTTTGGGTTTTCTTGGTTTTAAGATTCTGATAAACTAATTCTTAAGATAAAATGAACAAATTTAATTAGTGTAGTTTGACTTTATTAATAAGGTTTACTGCATAATAAGCATTTTTATGAAAACTTATGTTAGTTGTTCTTAGCCTAGTGTTAATCTGGAATAGCAATATTTGGTAAGAGGTCAAAATATCATGCTTAGTTGCCATATATCACTACTTGGATGAACAAAAATTTGTTTGCATAGCTTTAAATTTAAAATCATATAATATTAAAATGAAATGAGTAGAATCAAGTAAAAACACTAATGAGAACAAATCAATATTGACCAACCTTTGCTAATTGAGACATGATAAAGAAGAAAGAGAATTTTATGCAATTCACTTGTTCCATTTTTGTATAATTCTTAAGTTTTCTTTCAATTTATTTTAATTTCTCATCCTTTTTATTTATAAATACGTTATTTAGTATATCAAATTTCTAAGTCAATGACACTTTCATATGCATACACTAGAGAATAGATTTTTTATTTTTAAATTAATCTTTATATACAAATTAGATTGTTACATATTCTATGTAATGGATATATGTCTCACATGTTTCTATCATCTATCGTCCACATATCAATAATTACTAAAATTAAATTAATACCTATTTTCTAATATTTAGTTTTATTTTCAGTAAAATTTATGATATTTTTGAATATTTTAAAATTTAAAATTTATTTTTTATAATTTTTTTATTTATTTTGATGCATCTAAATTGTAACAACAGTCAAAATTAGTAGACTAATCGATTACACCACTTTTAAAGCTTCTGTTAAAATAAAATGTACGTAAAAAGAAAAACAATCTGAATAAAAAAGGTGGATAGAAAATCCATATGGTAAATATTGGGTAGCCTATGTACTATCAATCTACTGCCCCAACCAATATATCTCCTTCAATATCCAAACTCGTAGTAAATTGTGCACCAAGTCAAGCTCCAAAGACAAACCCATGGTCTTCAACCAAAAAAAAAAAAAAAAAAGAGAAGAGAAGATTGCCCTTTTAAAATCTAATCCAGAAGCTTGCCGTCAATTAGTTTGTCCAAACCTTAATTAAACCCAGTTTATAGAGCAATTAATTTCGGCCTAAACATGGGCTAAGCACAGCCCAGATATCTGCTTCAAAGTGACCCGAACAGCAGACCAATTATCAGATATGAAGCGGCACCGTTTGGGGTTTTTTTTTTCTACCCCCTACCTTTCCTCTTTCAGCAACAGCCAACGGAGAAGAGGCTAGAGTAAGTGTCTTGGTTCTGTAAAGAAGACAAGGGAAGCATGGTGGTCAAAATCGTTGACGAGAGGCATGGTTGATGTTGACTGGTCGAGGAAACCAACGAAGAGTGAGCTTGCCTTTTTGCTGTTGTTCACATGGTCCAACGTTGGACGCGGAAAAGGGAAGATTGATGGAGAAATAATAGAGAGGCGTTTGGCTCGCGAAGAAATCATGACAGAGCAGAAGAGAGAGGACGTACCACACAGCTGAATGAGAAGCCGAATATAGGAATAAAAGTAAAGCCAGTTGCTTCAGTTCAGAATAAGCATTGAAGAGGAAAGTGTGGACTGAAAAAGAGAGCATGAGAGCAGGGATTGGGGCGTTGAATGAAGAAAAGACAGAGAGCAGATGAAGTCCTCGGTTTCGGCATAAAAATCAGAAGCCAAGGAGCTTCAGGAGGAGAAAAAGGAAAAGACACTGTCGGTGAGTGAAAACATAGGGATTTTTGGCGGGAAAAAGGGATAGAGAGGGAAGAATCTAAAAGGGGATTGACGGCGAGAAAGAAGGGAGAAAAGGAAACAATAAAACAGGGAGCGTGAGCAAGGGAAGAAGAGAGGAGCAGCGACCTATCAAAAGGCTTTGGAAGGGGAATTCCACTAGGTAAATCCGAACTCATTAATGGATGCATGTTGCTATTGTTAGTTGAAGTTGTAGTGTATAATCAAATGATTATAAAATATGTATGACTAAATTCATTTAGTATGGATTGAAATTTGGATAAAGAAAAATGATTTTACTGAAAGTGGAGGGAGACTAGTGGAACATAATTTGTTGAAATGTAGACCTGAATTTTTTTTATAGTATGAAAGATGAACTGACATGTGGATCGGGATGATGATAGTTTTTTTTTTTTTTCAATTGATTAAAAGCAATTGGACATTTATTATGGGTTTTGTGGCTGAGTTTGTAGGAGAGGTAGTGGAGTTTTAGATTTTTTACGATTACTAGGACCAATTTGGTTTCATTTTTTTGTGGTTTGAGGATATGATGTCAAGCTATCTAAGGTCGTCTTGTCTCTTGGGATCCGTCGTCATTATTTCAAATTTTCTGTTTTAGTCTTCAGGATAGTTAAGTTAGCTTGCTCTCTCTCTCTCTCTCTCTCTCGTGTTCATTTGCCCTCATGCATTATCATTAATCTTTTTTTTTTCTTTTCACAAAATGTCTTCTTTCTAATCCTTTATGTCTAAGAATCTAGTTTGATGAATTGGGTCATTATCTTGTTTAATTTTGGGTAGAGAGAGTTTGACTCTCATTTGGGGTTTATATGAAACAGCATGACCCTTGTAAAATGGTAGATAGATTCTATTCTCTGAGATTCCCTATTTAGTGTTATGCTTCGGTCAAGAGGAAGAAACTTACAATATCGTAGCTGCTCATGGTTATTTTGGTTGATTGATATTCCAATATGCTAGTTTCAACAACTATCGTTTTTTATATTTCTTCTTAACGACTTGGCCTATAGTTGGTATCTGGTTTACTGCTTTAGTTATTAGCACTATGACTTCAACTAAAATGGTTTCAATTTCATGCTAACCTTGGTATGGAAGTTATACATGAATGTAATGCTCACAACTTCTCTTTAGAACTAGCAGCTGTTGAAGTTCCATCTACAGATGGATAAAATTTTTGTCTCAATGGAGACCTATGCATTTTTGAAATAAAAAAATAAAGGAGCAATAATCAACTTTCTTGTTTCTTTTGGAATTTAATTCATTTTTCTTTCCTTTTAAATCTGTTTGTAGTGTTATCACTGTGATTCTGTTGATACTCACTGCTTTACTCACATCTTTATGTAGTCTCTAATTTAAATGTTCCACTGTTTCAGTTTCACTAAACACGCAATTTGGTTCACTTTGGCCCACTGAGATTGAGATATGAGGGGCTGCTTTGGCAATAATTATTCATGTAAGTTCTAAATCTCAACTTGAATGCATGAAATAAGCTTAAAAGAGGCTGCAATTTCTTGCATATAAGGATGCATGAAGGTCACTATTTGGATGACAATAGGGAATAGCGAGATTGTTTTGTGTTCATAATTTACTCAGTGGCTTAGTTTTTTTTCTGCATAAGACTGCTTTATGAATACAATCTTTGGTCTTTACATCTAGTTAGTTTTCTTTTTTTTTTTCCCTTCGCTTTTTGGTGAAAAATGACGTTGTTTTTACGGTTGCAATATATTTTAGACATCTAGTTTATTATGTTTATATAGTTGTATATTTTTTTTAGTTTCGTTTACACATGTTTTTTCTAGGTCATTTTAATGCTGATGCCACTAGACTGGTGCCTCACCCCTTGTCTAGTTTAATTTTTTTGGATTTAGTTTACCTTTATTAGATTGGTGCATATTATTCCTCATGCAGTTAGGGTGATAAGATTAGCATAGATTAATTGGATTTAAGGTAGTCACTATTATAAGTCTTTCTTCTTGATTATAACCCACTGGAGAATGTTTCTTTCTTCTTTTACAATATCAAAAAAATAGATTAAAAAATTTACAAAACTCTCTCTTAACAAGTGGAATACAAAATGAAGAGCTACAATATTCAAATATTAGGCTTGAAAAAAAAAAAGAGAGCTTTTAGGTTTAGACATTATTGTACCTGAAAGATTGTAGTAAATGTGGTACTGTCACAATTGTGACACTAGATAAAACTCCACAAAAATAAGAATTTACAATAAATATCTTTTAGAGGCTCATAAAGGTCCATTTACAGGTCAAGGCCATAAAGGACTATATGAAATCCTAACAACATCATGGCATGCTCAATTATCTCTTAACCTAGCTATGTTAGGCTCTTTAACCATTATTGTAGCTCACCATATGTATTCCATGCCTCCTTATCCATATCTAGCTACCGACTATGGATAGAGTGTGAATTTGTTGAAAACTGATTTAAATAGGCTGAATCGTTATGAGTGAACTAGTTTGAGTGCCAAATTTTGGGCGGAATAAGTTAAATATTGTGGATTTTTTGTTCTTGGCAAACACTCAACCTTGAGTTTTGAAATGAGAAAGTAATCAAAACACCAAAGGCATGTGTGTGCTCTTTAAATCCTTTAAAAAGTCTATACTTCTAATGGTCTCAATGGAAAAACTGGAAGTTAGCAAAAGCTGTAGTTTCCAAACATCATAAAACCAAACAATGTGATCACACAAAATCTTCTTAATGCGGTTATCACAGAAGGAAACAATTCTAATAGGAGCATGAGGCAATCATTGCAAGAAGGAAGTTGTTCAATATTTTCAGCATAGATGGAAACAACAGCAATGAGGCCTACATTTCTTTTAGTGACAATGGTGATTCGTAAGAAGCATCAACCTTCTGATCTTGGAACATAGGTGTAGTTACATTCTTAAGCTTTGTGTTGTACTCTTGCAAACTGTGACATCTCAGGTGCCAATTAAGGCAAATGGGTGTCAAATACAGATTCAGAATAACGAGTGCATGATAATATTTTTTCAGCGGAATCAAACTTTAACAAATCTTTTACATATATATATATATATATATATAATGTTCCAAATACATACATCACTGAGGGCAGAATGGATTATAAAATACAAAACATAAAGGGTACTTCTTTCACTAGGCTACTGTAATTCATCAGTGTGGAAATAGACATGCACTCAAACTTTTGGATCTACGGAATCCTCATATACTTTCAAAGGTAGATTTGCCTACCGTTCCTCATTTTCTTCCACATCTGGGGGAGAGGGATGGAAAGAGTGAGTTACATAGGCTTAGTAACGAAAATAGTATTAAATTAACATCGTAAAATTTCAAAAGTTTATTATTTTTTCTTATTGTTCAGCTTTCTCGTTTACCTAACTCATAATTAAGAAAAACATTTATTTGAATATCAAAATAGTACGTTAACACAGAAAATCAAATATACATATATCATGCCAAATAATAGAGAAAATCAAATAAATCATAAAATGCACAGATTTTTCATGTCATGCTTCGCGAAGTCATTATAAACTTCTATATCTGAAAGCAGATACAAATACAGATTTCTAACTGCCCAAGTGAAATGAGTAGATCAGATACAGATACGGCAATTTGTTTAGGCCCACTTCCAGCTAGCCAAATCATGGTATGATTTACGATCACGACCGTACCAATCATAGTGGTTCTAACAGATGGTCTATAGTCACGATATTACTTAACCACAGGTGACCCTTACAGATAGTGCGATACCACTCTCGTCAGAAGGCACACCGTTTTCAAGCATGAGCGGTCCTCTTACGTTTTTTCAGATCAGATAGGAGAGGGAGAAACATATAACCTGAAGGGTAAAGGGAACAGATACCCCTTAGAAATAAAAAGGCTAACGAGACACTTGATGCAATATATATGTCAATACAAATACATTTCGGATCATACTGGTTTCATTCCACTTTTCTCTTTTTTTTTTTTATTTTACTTTTATTATCATGGACTACATATTACATTTATTACATGCAAATTTATTAAGTGTCAGTAAATCAAACAGTATGCTTGAAAATCAGAATAATTCGACTCATTTGAATATAGAGGCACGCAAAACAGGCAAAATAACTATCATATTAAATTTGTTTATCTAAAAATACTTTTTAAGACGTCGAAAGTAATATTAAATTTATTACCGAAACCTCGATATTTTCTTCTTCACCGTTTTTCTTTTCTTTCTCTTCTTCTTTCATTAATTTACTATATCTCTCTCTCTCTCTAAATCTTTGAAAAATGGAAGAAATGGAAGTGTGAGAGGAAGGGAAAGGGGGAGGGCAATTTATAAAATTTCAGAACTGTTGAATTCGCGCCAAGTGGCGAAATCCGATGAAGAGAGAGGAGAAAAAAATTCTTGGCACGAAAAACAAGGGAGAAAATTGTCCTCCACCAGCAGTGGCAGCGTGTTGCCCAAGGTAGCAGCGGAGCACTACTTGAGGTGGTAGAGCCCGGCCAGTGCACTGCAGGTTAGCCTGCAGGCTCACAGGCCTGTTGCCGTGTGTGCAGTGCCCAGACGCACTGGGCGCCGTGCTCGTAGGTCCCAGGCGCATAGGGTCTGTTCGTGCATGAAGTGATGTGCGGACGACCCGCCTGCTCACGACAAGACGTGTGTGCAGGTCATGACCCAGCGACGTGTGCGCGGATGGGACATATGCACTGTGTGCACGTCCTGTGCGTGATGGCGTGTGAATGGGTCGTGTGCGTTGTGTGCACGCCCCGCGGCCACTGTGCACGCATGTGTGCGCACACAGTGCCCAGCACCCGTGTGGACAACTGTTTTCTCGCCGAATTTTTTCTGCGAGTAAGTTTTCTCCTGTTTTGCTGTTTTCCGATTTTTTTCTAAATTTTTCTTTTGAAATAAAATAAAATAATTTAAAATAAAATAATAATAAAATTAATGAAACAAATAAAATATTAAAAATAAAAATAGATTAAAATCACGGATATCGAGGACATAGTAAATTAATTTAAATTTAAGGAGGCCAAATGCCTGAATGAATAGAGTTTGCAAATCATTTTAGCACAGTGATAGGTGGAGTGCTATATTTCTCCCACCTAAAAAAATTTGGTCCCCAAATTTGTCTCGAATAGGTTTGAATACTTCTTTCGCATTTCGTCCTCCAACTCCCACGTCGATTTTTTTGGGGGTGATGCTGCCAACATACCTTCACCATAGGAATCGTCTTATTACGAAAGGTCTTATCAGTCCACTTGAGAATTTCCACATGAACCTCCTCATAGGTCATATACCATCTGTACCTCATCACGAGGAATGACATTAGAAGGATCAGGGTGGTACTTCTTGAGCATCGAGACATGAAAGACATCATGTAAACTCGCGAACTCTTGAGATAGAGTGAGGCGATAAGCCATGGGTCCAATGCGCTCGACGATAAAAAAAGGTCCCACATATCGAGGGCTCAACTTTTCTCTCTTTCCAAACTGCATCTTGCCTTTGTAGGAATAGACTTTCAGGAAAACTTGATATCCTATGGCAAACTTCAAGAGTCGCCTACGATTATCAGCGTAGCTCTTTTGGCGGCTCTGGGCAGTTGCCAAATTCTTACGGATGATTGCGACTTTCTCAATGGTCTTCTGAATGAGATCTGGTCCTAAGTAGTGCTGGTTCTTGACTTCACTCCAACAAGTAGGGGAACTGACAAGGCCTTCCATACAAAGCTTCATACAGGGCCATATCGATGCTGGAATGGTAATTGTTATTATAAGCGAATTTACAAAGAGGAAGATACTCATACCTATCACCAAAGTCGAGAACGCAAACACGTAACATGTCTTCTAATGTCTGGATCGTACACTCAGATTGACCATCCGTTTGGGGATGATAAGCGATGCTGAAGTACAACACAGACCTCAAGGTTTCTTGGAAGCTGTCCCAAAAGTGAGAGGTGAACCGGGGGTTGCAATCGGATACAATGGATGAGGGAACTCTATGGAGTCGAACAATCTCATCAACATATAGACGGACTAACTTACTTGTGGAGTCCGTGGTTCGAATAGGCAGGAAGTGGGCAGTCTTGGTCAGTCTATCCACAATGACCCCAATGTCCAATACCCAAAACTCCTATTAATAGAAAAATGGAACCTCCCGCAGTGTACAAAATAAACTTTGTAGTTGAATACAGATGTTTCTTTCCACCCCACATGGAAAGAAGTAGATAAACGGGAATTAATTCTAACTCCCACATGAGGAAAAAAAGTAAAAGATCTCGTTCGGTGACAAAATTTATAGTTACGTCCTTCCATTATCATTCAGGAATCGGAAGACCCTGTAGCAAGCCACCAGGTCTCTGATGTTCTGTTTTTATCATTTGACAAGTAAGGCATTGGGAGACGTAGTCAACTATATCCTTCATTTCTGGTCACCAATATTGTTGATTCAAGTCCTGATATATC